GGGGGGGCGCCCCCCCCCGGGGCGCCGGCCCTGCCGCGCCTCCTAAGCGGCGCACTATCCAGTGCGCCACTGGGCCGGCCCAACTGATGCAATCTTTTAATCAGTAATAAAAAGTGATTGTTACTTGTTGAAAATTTTAATAAGGAAAAAATTTTGAGGCGGAAACATTTAATAGTGGTGTGGTGAAGATTTTTGGTTGTTTTAAAAAACTTAAAACACTTTTTCTGTTTGGCATTCTCAAGTTAGGCTTTTTATGAATAAAGCTATTTAGGGTAAAAAATCTTTCAGTCTCAATATTTGAGATTAAAAGAAATCGAGCAGAAAAGATGAAAATTAAGTTAACATAAAAAGTAAACAGATTGGCAATTATATGAGGTAGATATAATAGAAGTATTTCAGTTAGTCGTTTCTTGAGCGTGAAGTGCTAATGCAGGGTCAGGAGAAAACGGCAACTGTTAGGAATCAAAGTGGTGACATTTAAGGGGAAGAATGTTTAAACATTTTCCTGAAGTCAAGACGTGTTAGAATTGTGAAAATGCCTTGTTGTATAATCAGATAAGAAAAGGTGGAATGAAAGTGGAGGAAAAAACACCCCTTCTTTTATATAACCATAGAATATTATGTAATGGGGACTTGTGTCCGGTATATCCATTTGACAGGTTGAAGGTTACTTTCTATGTGGAAGTGCTGAACGGTCAAAGATAATGTATAAACTAACTGGATACCACAGTCTGTGTTCATTTCCTTGTTCTCAGGAACTCTTACTTCCTAGTTTTCTTCTACTTTCAATTCTCTTCTTCCAAGATTTCTAACATGCTGACTGACTCAGTTTCCAGCTTATCTTTTCCTGGCCTAACTACTTAAGTTTTGATGTTTCTTAACTGATTATTTTCAGATGAACTCTGCCACAACTTCCTATTGATTTCAAAACTACTTTATGATCTAATCCTCTAATTATTTTCTTTTCTTTTTTTTTAATCCTCTAGTTATAACAAAACCAATTCACATAGTGATTGTGAATTTTTAATCTTTTTTCCTTTTTTTCTTTATTATCTTCTTAAAAATTGTTTAAGTGTATTAAGTATTATGGTTATGTATGCAATGGTAAAATAATGTAAATTGGAGGTTATGTGCAATCTAAAATAAAGGGACATTGAAATGGCATTAATAAAAAAAGAAAAATGAATGGATTATGATTAGATTGTTATTCAGTATTTAAATGTGATATTCATAATTTTGTAGCTTTTTAAAAATTGAGATAATTCACAGACTATGTCAGTCATTAGGAAGTTTATTGCATATTCATTTTAGTCCACTAAGCTGCTTTAATACAATTTATGGATTTCTAAAATATTTTCAGGGATTCAGGAATTTGTTTCTGTGTGTTGTTGCTATTTACAGAAAAATATTAGTGGATGCTTAGTTTCAGAAGTTTAGACATCTGGGACCATTATGAAACAAGTTTAAATTATATTAAGTAGACTTCTAAAGGTGCTTAATAATGTAGACCTAGGATGTTTGACAATTAACAACACTGTAGACAGTAGGTGCTAGAGATTGTTTACAGTATTCAGCTTTTTGTAGTTTGAGAATTAGTGTCATTATGACCATGTTCTGCTTGTGTTATGCCTTAAATAAAGACAGGAGACTGCAGCCATTGCTTGCATTCACATTGTGACATGTATTCTCTGTGTTATTTGATAGGCTTTGGGTGTAGAATATGCATGCTCATGGTCATAGTAATGTGTCCTTAGCATTTCAGCAGGAACTTGATGCAAGGCATGACAAGTACGAAAGACTTGTGAAGCTTAGTCGGGATATAACTGTTGAAAGTAAAAGAACAATTTTTCTCCTCCATAGAATTACGAGGTGAGTAAACATCTTTAAAATTTGTTACAATTTGATATAGTTTATATATATATATATATATATATATATATATATATATTTTTTTTT